TATTATCCGTATACCGTTGGAGTTAAATTGGCCTTCACCTACATAATTCTATTAAGCTCTCCCATTCAACGGTTACAATATTTAATAAGTATTTATTAAGTATTAAACAAATATTTTGTAAATACTTTGACAAACTTCGTGATGATGTAATGTAAAACGAAAAATCAACTTTGTGATGCCTAGTGTTTAGCACAAAACCGAAATTTATATAAAAATCTTCAATTATATAATCTTCAACTATACAAACTTAAGTGTCACAGTTTATGTTTATCCAATTGGACATTTAATTCCTCGATAATGTCACCTTTAATTAATTAATTTAAAAGCTTAAAGAACTCAATTCTTAAAGTCTGATTATCAATTAGCTATCATTTAAAGGTTTATTTATAGTTTTTTTTTTGACAATTTAAAAGTTTATTTCAATAGTTTTTAGTAGTTTATTATCAACCGGTCTGAACTGGTTAAAAGACTGCAAACCGATGACCATATAATCAGTACAAAAGGCTGGTCCTTAACCGGTCTTCTCAGGACCGATCCAACCCTAATTAATTAGATTCGACGTAAGTTATATGTTGATCAGTATAAAAACTTAAGCTTACATCAATTTTTAATCGTTGGTTATTTGAACGATATACATGTTTTATTTATAATGATTACTTATATTTTGGCTTATAATTATCCATTTTACGTATTAAATATTAAAACATATAACTATTTCTATTCTACTTTAAAACAAAATTTTTATTTATTTATTTATTTATTTATGTTTACTTCATTCAGTCTTCAAATGCTTACTCAATTCATGTATAATTTTCTCTTTCTGATTTTTTCAGCTCCTTAATAGCATCATCAATCCGCTCTCTAATAGTATTTTCAATTCGTATAGAGTTGCTTCTCTCTAATTCTTTCAGCTCTCTAATAGCATCCTCAATTTGTGTAAGAGAGGACTGTGCTTCAGGGAGTAGAAGAACATCTTTAAGATTATTTGAAATGTAAGGTTTTTTATAACCTGCCCATTTATTATTTTCGATATCAATTATATATTCGCGAAGCTTAGTTGTGTGACATTCATAAAAACTTTTAATATAAAATATATAAGTAATGAAATGTGATTTTGTTTTTGCACATAGTTAAAAAACTTACATAATATACGGAAACCAATTTTCTTTTCTTCGTTGGTGAGGTAACATATAGAATAATTCGATTTCTTCAATAATCTAAATAAACAATTAGTTATAGAATTTAAAGTTCTTTGAGTTAAATAACTTTAAATAACAATATATTAAAAAATACCTCTCCTATTAAAATCAAATAAGCAATATTACTATGCTTATCATCACTAATTAAATTATTATTTTTTTTTTTTTAATCTTCAAAGATGACTAATTAAATTATTAAGAATTCCAATAAATAAATTCATTAAGTAAATTAGTGTAAAAAATGAAACTACAATCATTAAAACCATCATTGTAATGTTTTCACTTGAAATCCATGAAGAAATAGGAGTTGAATCTCCTAATTTAATATAATTAAATATATTATTTTAAAACAAAATATTAGAATTAAGTATTAATAAACTATACAGTATATTACCTGTAATCATCATGTAATAAGATGCAATAATTGATGTACCAAATTGTTTAAACATATTTGAAGCTAAAAATTTCAACAATAATAAAGTTATTAATAAACATGCTATAATCAACTTAAAAATAAATCAATTTAATAGATAAATACCTTGAGGTGCCTCAGATGTCTCAGACGTAAATTGTAATAAAAGGTATAAAGAGTATGCAAATGCGAATATAATCAATCCAAATATTATTAAAAAAGAAATTACTTTATCGATAGTATTCATAATCATAGCAATATAAATTCCAAAAAACTCTATAGAACGGAAAAAAAGAATAAAATTTAATTCAAGAAATAAAGTTGAAAATGTGATAGCCCAAATCGGAACAGAGCTGTGCTTTAACCAATAAATAGAAGTGGCTGTAGTAGATATTATAGCACCAAGATCTATTAAAATGATAAATAAAATAAGATAGTGTATAAATTAAACGTTTTAATAAAAAATTTACCTAGGTAATTCCAGATACTTGAAAAATAAGCTAAAGGTGCGCAAACAAATTGACGAAATTCAAAAA